AAAAAAAAAAAAAAAGTTACTGCTTTTATCTTTACTTTAGAAATGAGAAATCTGAAGCACTGAGAGCTTAATTTGCCCGAAGTCAAATAGTATGCAGCAGAGCAGGGATATGGACTGGAGCAATCAGGGTGCGGAATCTGCCTTGGAAATAATCAGGCTTCATTATCCCTTTACGGGATAGATAGAAAACCAAGAGTCAGAGGGAGAAAGTGAGTGACTCCCTCTGCCACATATGCTTACTGCCCCCCTCCACAAGGAATGGGGAGAGGTTGAGGTGTTAGAGAGGATGCGGAGGCTGGCTCTTGGGTCACCTTCTTGAGAACTCTCCCTTTTCTCCCCAGGGCAGGAGCGCTTCACCTCTATGACACGACTGTATTATCGGGATGCCTCTGCCTGTGTTATTATGTTTGACGTTACCAATGCCACTACCTTCAGCAACAGCCAGAGGTGGAAACAGGACCTAGACAGCAAGCTCACACTACCCAATGGAGAGCTGGTGCCCTGCCTGCTCTTGGCCAACAAGGTATGTGGCCAATCTCAGAAAATGGTCCCTAGCCTGCCGGGCGCCGTGGCTCACACCTGTAATCCCAGCACTGTGGGAGGCCGAGGTGGGTGGATCGCAAGGTCAGGAGATTGAGACCATCCTGGCTAACATGGTGAAACCCCATCTCTACTAAAAATACAAAAATTTAGCTGGGCGTTGTGGCGGACACCTGTAGTCCCAGCTACTCGGGAGGCTGAGGCAGGAGAATGGCGTGAAACTGGGAGGCGGAGCTTGCACTGAGCCGAGATCGTGCCACTGCACTCCAGCCTGGGTGACAGTGCGAGACTCTGTCTCAAAAAAACAAAAAAAAAGAAAAAGAAAATGATCCCTAGCCTCTGTCTGTGGTTAGAAAGGAAATAAAGTCTCTGATTCTGGGCATCAATTTCCCCTTCTTAAGTTGACAGAATCATCTCTACCTCCTTTCAAAGGATGTTGAGGGTGAGACTTTCTTTTTTTTTTTTTTTTTTTTTTCCCAAGACGGAGTCTCACTCTGTTGTCCAGGCTGGAGTGCAGTGGTGCAATCTCGGCTCACTGCGAGCTCCGCCTCCCGG